GAGAGAGAGAGAGAGAGAGAGAGAGAGAGAGAGAGAGAGAGAGAGAGAGAGAGAGAGAGAGAATACTAGCTCCAAAGTTCTGACTTCTCATCCCTGGGCAAGGGCTGATTTTGGAGGTCTCACGCCCTGTGGGCCATTCCACGGGAGGCCACAGTGGAGACCAAGTGTGTTAACGGCTTGTCTTTAAACGGTCACTAACTTTCCTCGTGCGGATTTATGGCTTGTATTAAGGGCTAGCTTTCCAGACCTGCTGGGAGGACCAACACTGCCTCTCCTTCTCCTCACTACAGGTTGCCTGGATGCAGGCCTCCTGCAAGGAGCCAGTTTCTGCACTGGCCCAGAGCCAATCCGTGCAGGGAAAGAAGCCCATCTCCACGTGGGCCACAGTGTTCTTCTGGATGCTTCCTTTAATGTGGTAAGTCAGAAATGTGGCCCCCAGGGCTTTAGTCTGTTTGGCTTTGAGGAGGTACAGCCAGCCCTACCTCTGCCCCAGGCACACCAGGCCTGGCTAAGGGGAGGATGCTTTCTGGGTGGACTGAGACCAGTCTGCAGGGTGATTTCAGTTTCTTTTCTTTTTCTCTAGTTCTCTGCCTCTCCCTCCCCTACAGGGTCTTATTATGTTGCTTTGACTGTCCTGGAACTCACTATGTAGACCAGGCTGGTCTCAAACTCACAGAGAACTGCCTAACCTTGTCTGCCTTCCAAGTGCTGAGATTGAAGGCATGCACCACTATGCCGGGCTTCATTTTCATTTATTCATTCCAAGTACTTCATAAAAAGATAGAACCAGCTTTGTTCCAGGTACCCAGGTCTTTGGTCCTATAGGACCTGAAGGGCAGGGAGGGCAGAGGATGATGGGTGGACCTTCTTTACCCACTGACACACAGAATCCAGAGAGAAGTGTGGCTCTGAGGATCTGGGGCCCTCAGACTGTGTGTGCATGAGTGTGTACTCATGTGTATAACATGGGACATGTGTGTGCCCATGCAGCCCTCCATAACCCACCTCTGCTTCTGTAGATTCAACCATGGCTGGAAAATATTTGAAGAACAACTGCACTGACTGTGTATATACTTTTCTTTGTCATTATTATTCCCTAAACAATACAGTATAGCAATCATTTATATAATATTCATGCTATTTTAGGTATTGTAAGTAGGCTTTAGAGGCTCTGGAGGACATGCTTAGCTTAGGTTTTATGCAAATACTGTGCCATTTAAATAATTTATATATTTCTTTTTTGAGACAGGAAATGGATGTCTGAGTTGGTCTCAAATGCCAGGGTTCAAACCTCTGCTTTGGGGATAGCGGGACTCCAACCACCCACACTCACCAGGCTCCTGTGCCATTTTATATAAGGAACCGGAGCACTCGCTGGTCTTGGTACCCGTCTCCCACAAACATGGAGAGAATGACATTTATGTAGAGAGTAAGAGAGATGAAATAAAGCCTGTCTAGCAAATCAGGTAAAATGTTACCACAATGTCATATGAGTCCAACATCTTTAGACAGTCTCTGTATTATTCTTTGCAACTTCAAATTTATTTATTCCAATTATTTTCTATGTTTTATTGTTTTAAAATTTATATCCAAGCCAGGTGGTGGTGGTGCCTTTGATCCCAGCACTTGGAGGCAGAGGCAGGCAGATCTCTGTAAGTTTGAGACCAGCCTGGTCTACAGAGTGAGTTCCAGGACAGCTCAGGCTACACAGAAAGGCCCCCATCTTGAAAAACAAAAGAAACAAACAGGTAGAGTGTACATAGCTTATTCAAGGACACGGAGCATACTAGCGGCTGGGCTTTGGAGGCCCTCGTCTAGGTGAACCTTACTTATCACATCCTCCAGTTTCCCGACCCGCCTGTTTTGACTCAGCTGAAAGACTAGTTTTTGAGGGCAGTTTTTGTTGAACACACACTCAGTCTGTGTGCCTCAGTTTCTCATGCTTTCCGTCCTTGTACCATGACAGACAGAAGTGAGTCATTTTTCACCTGACACCTGTGGCTCCTACTGGATTGTAAGCTCCTTGAGGACCCACTTCTCATTTCTGACTGAATCCCGAGGGCGCATAGAGACCAGAAAGACTGAGCGACAGGGTGAGTCACGGGCACACACGGGTGGACACGCCAACACGACTGTGCTCCTCTTTCTTTCAAAGTTTGATTGTTCTCTGTGCCAAGCAGATGTGAGGAGCAAGGCCTGAGCAGGGCCGTCCGCGGAGAAGCATGCTGTCTCTGGAAAGGACATCTGAGAACAAACGGCACCATTTGGGAAGGTAGGAGGATGGTTCCCCTTGGCCACCCACCCACAAAGGCTCTTCTGGGAGAGAATGAAGCTCTTGCATGCAGGTGACACGGGGATCCCCGAGATGGAGTAGCAGGGTGCAAGAGTGCCATCTTTCCAGAAATGAAAACAGCCTGCTAGCCACTCGGCATCATGTCTTCCTGCCCTGGGCCACTGCTGAGCTCCCTCCTTCCCATTGTGGATGAGCATCTACAACACAGACTGGACCTGCAGCTGCGTCTGTGCACAGCTGTGGGGAATGGAGACAAAGTGGGCGTAGGAGCAAGGGACAGGGCAGCTGTGGCCAGAGTGTGCCCACTAACCAAGGAATTGTCATTTTGCGTTTTCGATACTTACCACATCTCATACTCGAGCAAAGCATGAAGGCGAAGGTGAGTGCGTATTATGAAGTTTTCCAGTCTCCCGGCCCTCCCCGTCTCTTTATTCATCTGGTTGTCAGGTTTTCAAGATGACTGTAGTGGGAGGTTGTGAGCTTGAACAACCAGACGTGCATATGATGCTTGGCCCCGGCTATGCTCACCTTTCCCACGAGAGTCTGCGCCAGTGTCCTCAGTTGGGTTCTGTTAGCTGCATAGTGCGTCCCCATGTTGCTTGGGAAAATGCCCGTAGTGTTTAAAGAGCCAGGCTCCAGCCTTTGGGGAAAGCCTTTTGTTGTGGCAGGAACAAAGAGCATTGAGGCATATTGATGAGACATGAAGGAATGGTCACCACTAACCACACTGCAGTTCCACACATATGCTTGGTCCCTTCAAGACTGAGTACAAAGGTAAAATGCAAACTAGACTTTGAAGATTTAATGTTAAAATGTAAACCATCTTATTTAATACTGTTTTTAAACACTTATTTCAAGTTAAATCATATTTTAAATATACCAGCTATGTAAAATATGCGACAAGCTGGGGACTGGCGAGATGGCTCAGTGGTTAAGAGCACTGGCAGCTCACAACTGCCTGTGACTCCAGTCCCAAGGGATCTGACACCTTCACACCAAGGCACGTGAAGTAAAGTTAAGTAAATTATTATTTTTTAAATGTGACAAATCAATTTCACCCATTTTTTTTCTTACTTTTGTAATATGTGGCATTTAGACCATTTGAAATTCTGGACATAGTGTGTGCACATGTTTGCGTGTGTGTGTGCTTTTGTGCGTGTATTCAACACACTTCCATTGAATAAGTTCCCCTAGGGCCTAGAACCAGGTGCAGCTGAGGGTGGGAAAAGCTGGTGGGCAGGAAGGAAAAGCAAAGGAATAAGAAGGAACATGAGCAACGGCATGGGGTCCTCCAGGCTGGTCTGGGAGCACTGGGCTTCCACCTGCCTCATGGTGATGGATGAGCTGGAAGTTCCCAGGATCAGCCTCCTCTCCTCCGTGCCTCTGGTTCCCCTGTATGTAAGACCCTGAAGGGAGAAGAGGATGCCACTCCCAGGAGGGCAGGAGCATCCTTGCTTTGTCCCTGCTTGTTGCTGGCACCAAGTCGGTGCTCGCTGAGTAAATGAATGGGACCAGGAAGACAGAAATTCACCATTCTTCTTTCTGGGGAAGAGTAGGCTTGTGGAAGCATCCGGGCTTGGAGGTTCCTGATGACATCTTTGAAGATGCCTTCATCTATACATCCAAGGCTCCTAACAGAGGCGTGATGTGTCCAGGGCCCATGGGTGCTAACAGCAGACCAAGGGCCACCTCCAGTTTCTTCACTATATTGAAAAAGAATCATGACTGAGTGGAGTTTCTGCTCACCTTTGGCAACATGTACTTCACTGAGGGCCTGGCCAGGGCAGTCTCCTCCTTTCTGCCCTTTCTAGGACAGGTAATGGCCAGAGGAAGAATGGGCCCAGCAGGAACCCACTCATACCAAAGGCTCAGGTTGTTCAGTGCTCTCTCTCTGTGTGCTCAGGCGGGGCCCTGCCATCTCTCGGCCTCTTTTCCCTGGGCCTGAAGAATCTAGAGTCAACCCTGAGGGAGATTGGAGGAGCCCAAGGCTAGGCTCAGCAGCCACAGCCCCTAAATCATTCATGCAGGGGTGGGACAGGCCAAGCGGCACGGGAGGGATTTTCATAGATTATATTGAAAGAATTACAATGGTGCAGGAAAGGAGCCGGGTTCACTCCTGTGGGGACTGTGGGAGCTGGGCCTGGCTGCCTCTTTCTCTCTGGACAGCAGCACACATAGCTTTTAATAATTAAGTAACTTTAATTGTCCTGGGAAAGCTGAGCTTGCCTTGGGGCACACGGCACTAACTCATACTGTTACCAAGAGAGATTAACGAATGAGAACTGAGAAATGATTCTCTTTTTCAGGGCTCCTCACTGTTAAGACTTACTATCCAAATTTTAGAACCTCATGTATCTGCTTTGGGGGGTGGGAGGAAACCCAGGACCCAGAAACTAAGGCTTGTGAAATTAAACTCCATGCCTCTGCAAGGCAGTTTTTAAAACATCAGACAGGAAAATGTTACCATTTATTGATTCTATTCTGGTGATGGAACTTTATTCAAGACAGAAGAATTAATAAATAATAATACATTAATAAAAATGCATTCCTTTGAATGTATCTGTTGCTTAGAAATGATCTCACTTTAGTGTTTGGGAGTAACTCTTCTCTCTGGTCCTTTGAAAAACGTTCTGAAGCCTGTCATTTCAGACTATATACACAGATACCAACAATGTGATTGGCACATGGATATGCAGTAAATAATAGATGAACTAATGAGCACAGTAATGAAAGGAGGAAGGCTCTTTAAAAAAAGAGGATTGTCCTTCTACAAATATTCACGATCAATATGAAGGGCAAGCCTAGAGGAGAGGTCTGGAGTCCGGAAGAAAGGAGCCTGGGCTGGGGACCGGCATCAGGATAGACTACTGATGGCACAGCCAGGGAGGAAGGGCGGGGGAGCTTCAAAATTAGCATGAGAGTGGGTCTGTGGGTATAACTAATCGTCACTAATGTTTGATTGACTCCCCTGGACTGAGGCTGTTTCCTGACCAAGTCCCAGTGACGGGTGGCTCTTCCCTGGCCTTGTCTTCCACCTGCACCACAAGTATTTGTGTCCTAGACAATACAAATTGTGTCACATTGTAATTTCTGCAAGCACTGTCGCAGGCTCTATTCTCAGGGGTCAAGCAACACTGGCTGGATGCCTCTATGTTCCAGGTACCACAGCTCTAGGCCAGCGGTTCTCAACCTGTGGGTTGGGACCCCCTTGAGGGTTTGAACGACCCTTTCATAAGGGGCTGCCTAAGTCCATCCGAAAGCAGGGGTATTTGCATTGCGATTCAGAACAGTAGCAAAATTACAGTTGTGAATTATAAATTGCTACTTCAGTTGTGAATTATATTGTTATGGTTAGAGGTCACCACCACATGAGGAAATGTATTGAAGGGCCACAGCATGAGAAAGGTTGAGAACCACAGACAGAGAGAGACCTTAGTTTGAATCTGGAGTGTCCAATACTCCCCTCTGTCCGAGCCTCCGTTTCCTTATCTATGAAATGGGAATGATGGAACATGGATATAAACTCTTGGGGGGCGGGGCGGGAGGACAACAGTAGGAGTTCCTGGTCAGCTTTTCCCAGGAACCCATGTGGGGGTCATCTTAGGGCGCTTCTTTCCCTCTGTCTCATCTGAAGCTTCAGTTCTACCTCAGTTCCCACTCAGTGCCCCTCAGATTTGGCTCAGGGGGCCCCCTCTCTCGAATCTTAGACTAGGAGCTGGGAAGCCTTTTGTCCTGTGATGTCACCTTGACTGTGGACAGAGGCAGTGCCTGGGTGACTGTCCCCTGGCTGTCAGTTCCTGTTCTCAGAAAGGCTGGTGATAAACAAGGATACTGGCTGATTAAGCTCAAGGTAGGATTTCTCTCAGGCCTGTATAGGTCATGAATATAGAAGGCCACTTTCTTCCAGATGTTCTGTGACCCAGTGTCAGTTTGTGACTGAGCCTGTCACCTAAGGGAGAAGTAGAGAAGGGCCTTCAAGGAGTCACAGTGGAGCTCGAACACACGGAGGTTCCACTGTGGAAAGCGACACTGAGCATTGAGGTGCCTGGTGCCGGGGGTGGGGGGGTGGGGGTGGGGGATGGGGGAGCACCGGGGTGTGCGGCTGGCCAGGCTCAGCAGTGGCGGATTAGAGTCATTCTGTGTAAGAGGAAATGGCTGACTGGGAACGCTGCTCAGGGAGAGCAGACTCTGCAAGCAGCTGGTGCTCCCAGTTGTTACTATAACTGGAATTACTAATAATGACCACGGCCCGCCAACCTGTTCCTAGTATTAGCTATTGTGAAGAATGTGTGTGTTTCTTTTATCAAAACTGCAGCAATGCAGATGGTTGCTGCCCTGTGATTCCTTAACTTCTAGACCTGCCATGGAGCCATCCCCTAACAAAACACAAAGGGCAGTCCCAATCAGGGTTTCATTTTATTTAATCATTAAACTTTTTCCCTTTAAAAACATTTTTATTTTATGTGTATGGGTGTTTTGCCTGCATGCATGTTTGTGTGCCACGTATGTGTAGGTCCGGTAGAGGCCAGAAGAAAGCTTTGGATCCCTTGGGACTGGAGTTACAGACAGTTGTGAGCTGCCTTGTAGGTGCCGAGAACTGAACCCAGGTCCTGTGGAAGAGCAGCCAGTGCTCTTAACCTCTGAGCCATCTCTCCAGCCCCCAGAAATGTGTAGCCCAGGAGGGCCTTGAACTCATATTATTCCCCTGCCTCCAACCCTTCAGCACATCCTATTAGAATGTGCTACTACACTGGTTTAATCTATTTTGTTTTGCTTGTTTGTTGCCTTATCAGAGAAGCCTGGAATGATCTGTTACTGGAATCTGGTGCTGCGGAGATTGCTACGGGAAGAACATTGAGACATAAAAGTTCTGTCCTTAGTCTTCTAATTAAATTAGTTGCTTGACTTGGGGCAAGTGCCACTGTCATTGGGGACCTTAGTTTCTGCCAGTCAGAACCACAGAGCTCTATCTGGTGTCTAGCATCCCTCACAAGATGCCTGTCTCTCACCCGCTTAGGACTCCCCAAATTCCAGGTGCAGTAGGGCACCACAGAACAGGACTGTCCCAGCTGCGGCTGTGGGTAGGACAGCCAGGTTAGGTGATGGGGTAAGTCTCTCTCCTTGCAAGTCTCTGTGATGCAACACTGAACTCAGGCAAGTCAGGCCTTGCTCTCCCCAGGATCCAGAGTGATTCAGGGTCTGTAGCGTGGCTTCTCACTGCAGATGCGCTGCAGACACCTTTCTTGGCAATGGTTTTAACAAGGGCTCTGGAAATGTCTCGTTACTCATCTGTTTTGCAAGGGTGGCAAGCGCTCAGAGAGAAGGAGGCAGCTAGCGTGGCTTCCTTCCTGAATTAATGACTTCAGCCTCACGAATGACTCATCAGGTCTATGCCCAGGAGAACTGGGTGGTGGAGGTGGGGCCTGGGGTGGCAGCCAGAGGGATGGTGTCAGGGGTCGGGTGTGTGTCCCCGTCCTCCACTGGATGCCTGTGGGTCTTGATGCTCAGTATGGGGGTCAGAACTGAGGCCAGGTGTCCTAGCCAGATACCTAACCCTGCTGACTACTCGGGTGTCTCAAAGTTCTCCTCTGGTCTTAGCTTCAGCCATGGGGAGGAAGCTAAACTGTGAGAAAGATGTCCAAGGCGAGGGCTGAGTACATGTTGTCCAATAGATTCTGCAGTATACCTAAGAGGACCGTTTCCTAGTGACCTTTCTCTGAGAGAAGGCATCAAGGTGGTGTTTGGGATAAGAACTAGAGATGAAGGGCTTCTTCAAGGGATAGCTCTGAACTCTCTGGCTGGTGGTTTCATCCCTCTTCTATCAGCTTATTGTAGACTTCAGGGCCAATGGAGATGGGGCTGAATTGACCTGTCTGGGGCTTCATTCTGTTACTCCTTACAGAAGGTGCCTCTTCCAGGCCTGCCTCTGGCCCAGGCCCCTGCTTTCCAGTGGGTGTTAGACAGCTATTTGTAATGGCCGGAGGCCATGCCCATATTGTCACACCCCTGCAAATTGCAAGTGGGCTTTACAGGACAGGCCTCCCCTGGCCTTTATCAGAAGAGCCCTAAACTGTGCTCCTTTAATTTGGGAGCTGGTGTCCCTACT